CCACCCTTGTAAACCAATGGCATAATACGGATGACGTAATAAATTGGTTCCGTAATATTAAAGACAAACAAAACTCTACTTTTGTCCAGTTCGACATCGAAGAGTTCTATCCTTCTATCTCTAAAGAATTACTTCAAAATTCACTTATTCACGCCAAACAGTTTACGGAAATCTCAGAAAAAACATTAAATATTATAAATCACTCAAGAAGATCTTTACTGTTTACTGAACACAATAGTATCTGGGTCAAAAAACATGGAGATCCTAATTTTGACGTCACTATGGGAAGTTATGATGGGGCTGAAGTATGTGAATTAGTTGGCCTTTTCATTCTTCATACTCTAAGTCAAGTCTATGGGTTGCAAAACGTCGGATTATATAGAGATGACGGTCTTTGCTGTTTTCATGGGATTAATGGGCCGCAATCCGAGAGAATCAAGAAAAACATCGTTCATCTTTTTAAAGAGAAATTTAATCTAAAACTTACAATAAAAACCAACTTAAAAATTGTAAACTTTCTCGATGTTACCTTCAACCTGACAGAAAATACTTTCCAACCATACAGAAAACCAGGTGACCACCCATTATACATCAACGCAAGTTCTAACCACCCACCTAGTATTATTAAATCCATACCATCTATGATATCTAACCGTATTAGCAATATTTCATCTAGCATGGAAGTTTTTAATATAGCATCACCATTTTATAACAATGCGTTAACAGCAAGTGGGTTTAATGAAAAGATTAGTTTTCAAAAAAACCTTACCTCATCAAAACCAAAATCAAGATCAAGAAACATTATTTGGTTTAATCCTCCGTTTTCACAAAATGTAAAAACCAACATCGCAAAAAATTTTCTAAATCTAATTGAAAAGCATTTTCCAAAAACACATAAGTTTCGAAAAATTTTTAATAAGAATAATTTAAAAGTTAGTTATAGCTGCCTTCCTAACATCACCAATATTATTAATTCACACAATAAAAAAATATTATCTAATGTTTCCAACACAATTGTTCCAACATGTAACTGCCGGCAACCTTCTCAATGTCCTTTGCAAGGTATGTGTCTCAGTAAAAATATAATTTACGTCTGCAATGTAAAAACATCACCGCAGGATAGTGGTCTTAATTATATTGGTCTAACGGAACACACCTTTAAAGATCGCTGGTACAAACATAAAAATTCCTTTCAATACGAAAGTAAAGCTAACACCACAGAACTTTCGAAATATATCTGGGAAATGAAAAAAAAGGGATTTTCAAATCCTATTCTTACGTGGAAAGTTATTGATAGGGCGGAACCATTTAAACCTGGAGGAAAGTTATGTAACCTTTGCTTAACCGAAAAATACCATATCATCACGTCATCTTTGAAACTACTGAATAAACGAAATGAACTAATATCAAAATGTCGCCACGAAAACAAATTTGTTATTTGCAACTTTAACGTCATCTAAGCTAACACTGTATTGTATTTTTGTATATAATTTTTGTTGTTGTTACGGTTGTTTGTAACGTCTGATGATCGCATAAAGCGTGAAACTCCGAGTTATGTTTCAAATCTAATTGTATTTATTTTATTATTAATTTAATATATATATATATATATATATATATATATATATATATATATATATATATATATATATATATATATATATATATATATATATATACATATTGTTAATATACTTAGGTATTGTACCTAATTCATAATAGGCTTTAATAAGTATATACAATTGTACAAACAGTATATTCAACTGTATGTAATTTGGTCCAAATATTCGATAAAATAAAAAAATATATAAATAAAATGCGCTTGCGATTTAAATAAAATAAACTGCCAACAAGCATTTTAATTTAATTTTATTTTGAGCTTTATAACTTTATTAATAAGCGCAACGAATTTAAAAATTATTATAAATGATTTAAACTCATTCATTCCTTACAGAATTAAAACAAACAAACAAAAAATGTTTACAAAAAATAAAATGTTTATTTAAAACATTTAAAAAAATCGTAAGTTTATTCAAATTAATCCTAAGTTTAGAAAAATTAATCATATGAACATTACAAAATGCTTTAAAACTTTTTCATTAATCAACAAAATACATGCTTATAAGTAAATAAAGTTATTTTATATTCTTGAGTAATTCGCATAAAATGTGTAAAAGTAGTCACAAAAGCTTTTGAACTTATTCACAAATTAAAGTAATTTAAAAAAATTCTTTCTAAATATAATGGTTTAAAAATCTTTTAGGAAGACATAAAAAAATTGTTTCAAACGTTTAAATTTATGATAAAAAATACATGCCTACATAAAAAAAACTTATATGTAACGTTTTTTTATTAATTTACACAAGCGTTTATGTAAACAATAACTATAATTAATTTATGGTTTTATTTAAAGCCTTTTCGTAAAATGAAAAACTTTAGAAAAGATCAACGATTAAAAGATATTTATAATGTAACACTTTTTTTTATTGCATTCAAATTGTTAAAACATCAAAATAGCCGTGGTCTAGTTGTAAAGAAATAAATATATTAGCTTGGTCAGTTACAGAGTGCGATCACACGCCATTCCTGTCCAAGCCTGCATATTATATGTAAGAATGTGTTTAGTAAATATTTTGTTTAATTAAGTTTATACTATGACAACAGTATAATACGTAATTACATAAATGGTATATGTAAATAAGTCTTTATACAAACTATTCAATATAAATTTATACGAACTATTCAGTACAAAATGACATAATATATACTCTACTATATTATAGTATATATTTATAAATCTATATTTTATAGTATAAAATATAGATTTGTATACAGCTAGTCAATGGTTGGACTAGCATTTAGGGGCCCGGGGGAGGAGACATAGATGCTGGACCGCCTTATGTATAAAAATTTACCTATATTACATATCAAGGACTTTATTTTTTTAGTACTTTTTTAAAGGGCTCTTGAGATAGAGAAAGGCTTAAATATAGCAGAGCCCGGGGGGGGGGGGGAGAAACACCAATAAACACCACCTATTAATTCCAATAATAATTTTATTCAAAGAATAAGATTTAGATATATACTTATGAATACCTAAAGTTATAAATATATGGTTATTATTAAATAATTATTTTCGTAAATAAAGACCGTAGCCATCATTAAGATCTAAAATTTTGAAAGTTTTAATGTACTTGCGTATAGTAACTTGCCGCTTTTAAAAGACCATGTAACCGGTTTCAATACAAGTGAGGTAATATAGCTAATACCAACAATTATTATAATTATTATAACATTAATAAACTATACACTTACAACCAATAATGTGGAATTAACAATCTTCCTATTAATATCTTATAAAGTTGATAAAAGTAATTAACTTTTAGTATAAGTGTATAATTAGTATAGTTAGTATTATTATAAGTGTTTCATCATACCTGTGAAACGGCACGCCTTGTTTCAGTTTTTGGCGATTTGTGCAACCATATGCACAGCACGAAAATACCAATCTTTGCAATTTTCAACAAGTGATAGTTGCTTTTAAAAATTAAACTATTAAAAGTCTTTTGAAAAAATAGGTTTAGTAAACTTGAGGTAAATATTCTTTTTACTCTTTCCGAATTCCGAATTCCGAAAACCGTGCCGCAAGATAGCGGACGCTGGCTTAACTTTTTAATTCAAGTCACGCTCTTAGTTATATTTACGTCATTGAGTATGGGTTAATTTTTCTTATCTTTAATATTAGGGGAGAACGAGGTGAGATGGGACATGGGGTGAAATGGGACATAGCGATTTCTCAGCAAAAAAATTGTTAAAGCAGTTTTTTTTTATATATGTGATAAGATTACAATAAGTATTTCATATTATTGTGTTTTTTGAGTTTCAAAAATATTTTAAAATTCAAATTATTTTCGAATATGTTAAAATCTAACAAGTTTCCTGGATTTTGAAGACATCATCAACAATAAATATTTATGTTATGTTTCCATATATTTTTATGCTTATGGTTTTTAATTATTCATTATTGTCTTATTTAATTACTGAAGAAATATAATTAGCAAATGTTTAGAGAACTATATAAAATAAAGGTTTTCTCACACTTACTAGTGATGGGGTGACTTGGGACAGGAGACTTGGGGTGAAATGGGACACTTTTTAATTTTATCAGTCGTTTAATTTGTTATGTTTTATTTTTTTCAATCAATTATTTTTGTAAAAAAACAAGTTAGCAGAAAATTATGTTTATGTTTATGGCAAGATTTCCATGTTTACTTTATGTTAATATGTTTTTTTTTTAGAAAAAAAACATATTAACATAACTTTATCTTGGTTGTTAAAGACATTTTTCACAGTAAGTATTGTTTTATAAATAATATTTTTTAGCACTGTATTTAAGTATAATTCAGTTTAAATAAGGGTCTTTACTGTTACCCTTTTTAAATTCAATCTCATTATAAGTTTTTAGGGTTGTGGTACTAATTTATTTTCATTAATAATATGGATGAATAAAAATTATGCAATTTTAAAAAGCATAATTTTTGAATAATAGAGTAAGTAATGTGTGTAATATTTTTCAGATGCCAAGAAAGTACAAACGAGTGACAAATCGGTTAAAGCCTGATGCTCATACAGTAAAAGCCGCTGTGATGGCTGTTGAATCTGGTAGTTTATCACTACGAGCAGCTGCACTGGGAAATAAAATTTCGAAATCAAGTTTACAGCGGAAAATAAATGTTAATAAAGAAACTTCTTACAATGACTTATAATTTGATGAACAATATAAATATGTTTTTAATAAGGTGCAAGAAGATGAACTTTCAACTTATCTTCGTCAAGCATCTGATATGCATTTTGGACTTAATGTTAGAGAAACAAAGCAACTTGCATATCAATATGCAATTAAAAATGACATTAAAATACCAGACAACTAGAAAAAGAGTGAAACAGCTGGAACTGAATGGTTTTATTTATTCTTAAATTGTACAAAATTATCTATTCGCATGGCAGAAGCTACCAGCCTTAGTAGAACAACTAGTTTCAATGGCACCAATGTAGATACTTTCTTCAAAAACCTTGACAGTGTACAGAAGCGCTATAAGTTTTCTGCTGATTGCATTTACAATATTGATGAAACAGCTCTTACAACTGTTCATAAGCCAGTGAAGGTGGTTGCGGGTAAAGGAGTAAAGCAAGTAGGACAGGTAACTTCTGCTGAAAGGGAAACCCTAGTTACAATGATAGTTTGTATAAATGCTCTTGGAAATTCTATTCCACCGTTTTTGATTATTCCCCGTGTCCACTTTCGTAGCCACATCATTAAAGGTGCACCAACAGGTACCAAAGGTGATGCTAATCCTAGTGGATGGATAAATACAGAAATATTTTTGAAATGGTTTGATCATTTTGTGCAATATGGACATCCTAGCCAGTATCATTCATTACTTTTAATAATAGACAACCACAAAAGTCATATATCAATTGAATTGATGGATAAAGCTAAGGAAAGTAATGTTGTGCTCTTGACATTGTCACCCCATTGCAGCAACAAACTCCAACCACTTGACAGATCAGTATTTGGACCATTAAAAAAATTTTAAAGTTCAGTATGTGATTCATGGTTAAAGACACATCCAAATACTCGTATGACGATATATGAAATTTCCGAAAATTTAGGAATAGCTTATACGAGAGCCTTTACTTCCCAAAACATTCAAAATGGTTTTAAGGCAGCTGGCATTTTCCCGTACGATCCATATGTTTTTAGTGATGTAGACTTTTTATGTTCTTATGTATCTGATCAGCCAATTCCAGCAAATATCTCTACCTTGTCAGCCAGTTTGTCTAGCAGTATTTCTCAACCGGTCCAAAAAACAATTTCTGTCAGTACAGCTAATGTATACGATCAGACAGACCCTGCAACTAAGGCTTATAACTTAAGTAAATTATCTTATTTGCAAATACAAACAATCCATACACCACTATCTATTGTATCAGAAGTTATTAATGACAAGAAAAAGCAAATAAGCACTTCTGCCTACCAATGGAAAGCAGAAGATATAAGGCCATTTTCAATAGCGGGTGAGAGGGTGACAAAAAGAAAAAGTGCAAAAAGAAAATGTTCTAGGTCTCTGGTATTGACTGGCACACCAACAAGAAATGAACTAGTTGTAAGTTTATTAGAATTTAAAAAAAAAAGGAAGATAAAAATAAGAAAAAGCAAAAAAGTTACCCCTTGAGACATCAAAGCAATATTGACTCCATTTAAACATCAAGCGAACTTGTTGAACAAAGTTATAAATGCATTTAGAATATCTTATTTTAATTGTATACAAATAAATGTGGTGTTTTGTTATGTTATATAAGAAGTAGAATAGACAGAATAAAATTATGCTCAAAATTATTTGTTTCTAAATTGTCCCATTTCACCCTAAACGTTGTCCCATTTCACCCCAACATGGGGTGACATGGGACAAACAGTGTCGCATTAAAAAAACGAGGCAATGAACTTAATTTGATGGTTAAGTAATGGGTTTTTAAATAATTTTCCATGAGAACTCATTAGACTATAGTTTTAAACCAAACTGCATGGGGTTTGACAAAAATATAAAGCGTGGCAAACAAACAAATTTTTTTGTCCCATCTCACCCCGTTCTCCCCTACAATGGAAAAATATTTTTTATTAACAAAGTTAGTAATTTTATAATAGTGATAAATATAACTCAATAATTATAAAAATAAAAAAATGTTAACAAATTACCTCAATAAAAATTGCAGTCTTAAAATCATTTTTTAAATTTATTTTTTATGATTTTGCTATCGTTTCTTTATCTTTTTTAAAATAATTTTTTCATTAAAATTTGCATTTATAATAAAATATTGAGATATATTTAGCTAAATAACGAAAAGAAATGAGTTTGATTCTGAAAACTGTTAATAATGTATTTATTAAATAATTTATTTTAAATAATATATAATAAATAATATTTTTTATAATATATATTAAATAATATATTTTATAATTTATATTGAATAATATAATTTATATATATATATATATATATATATATATATATATATATATATATATATATATATATATATATATATATATATATATATATATATATATATATTAAATAATATATTTTATAATTTATATTAAATAATATATTTTATAATGTATATTAAATAATATATTTTATAATATATATTAAATAATATATTTTAAATAACATATATTAAATATTATATTTTATAATATATATTAAACAGTATATTTAAAATATATTTTAAATAATCGCTTATAATTAATACTTAACTTAACGCTGCTGCTCACCATTCGTGCACCTTTACACGGATTTTTTTACCATACTTGGCCTTTGAGTTTTATCATAAATTGCTTTACTTCTGAACTCGCCTAATGGGGCTCTTTCAAATCTTAATAATCTGTCAGTATCTGCTTAATCAGTAATGAGATCAAAAACTTTGTTTCATCAGCTTAATTAGTGATAAGATCAACAATTTTTATTTGATAACTTCTGTAGTAAAGGATGAACATTATGTTATTATTGAATTAGTAAAGTAACTTTTAAAGTCAGGTGATTTATTTAAATCATGCATTTTAGTCTTTTGTCAATTGTATTTAAATTTATTAATTTATAAAATTAATCTCTAATTTTTAAATTAAAAGACGACTCAAGAAGACGTTGCTCATTTCAAAGGTCAAGAGGTCAAACTCTTGATAAAGTTAGTGTTTAAAACACTTGCATCTCACACGGTCAACTCAATGTTACATGTTAAAGAACAAGATCGTTTAATACCTTATTTAAAAGAAGTTATAAAAATCCGTATAAAAAACCAGATTGTTTGATAGTTTGTTTTTGAAAGTTGTTAAACATTTATTACGAGGTATTTCAAAAAACAAAAATAAGGTTGTATTTGTAAAGTTTCAAATTTATATATTTTTCTTAATTTATATATTTATCTATATATGTGTGTTATTTATAATGTGTTTTATTGTGTATATATGTGTTAAGGTTATATGGGTTTATATTTTGTAAGTGTGTAAATATATGAAATGTTTCAATGTTTGTGGTGTGTTATATGTAATATGTTTATAGTTTGTAAGTGATAATTATGTTGTTTGCATGGTTTCAAATTGTTGTGACTGGGCTTAGTTTACAGCAAGATTGTTGACCTCGCTAGCCAAGTGGTGTACTTTGCTATAATGTGACCTGGCTTTGTTGAGAGCAAAAATATCGTCGTCGCCAGCAGAGTGGTGTATTGTCATAATAAAACACATAAATTAATTCTGTTTGTAATTAGTGTATTTCTAAAATGTGTTGAAAAAATATTGTTTAAAAAATGTGTTTTAATGTTGTTATCCTCTGTTCTTAACAATGTATGCTTTTGACAATAAATAAATTTTGTTAAAAAGCAGGCTTTACTAACAGCTCCTCCTCATTAAAATTTTTAAGAGTTTCGATTTTCTTCATTAAATATGTTTAACTCAAATTTTTTTTATATATATAAAAGTAAGTATACAGCGTGTTGAAGCATAAGTTTTAATAACTTTTGTTAAATTTTTAGGATTTTTTGTATAGAGAATGTTTTCTTTATATTATTATTTTAATGTTTTGTATGTACATCAATATATATATATATATATATATATATATATATATATATATATATATATATATATATATATATATATATATATATATATATATATATATATATATATATATATATATATGTATATATATATATATATATATATATATATATATATATATATATATATATATATATATATATATATATATATATATATATATATATGTATATATATATATATATATATATATATATATATATATATATATATATATATATATATATATATATATATATATATATAGACACACACACAATAAAATATATAGAATTAAAATGTCTATACATATATTATATGTATAGACATTTTAATTTTTTTGCCTTAAATTATTGTCCCTTTTTCTTTAGAATATTAAATATCTAAAAAAAAAAAAATAGTAAAAGAAGTTTCAATATTTCCAAGTTTCTTCACTTGAAGCAAATATATGATTGTTTATAGAGGTTCTTTTAGTAGTTTTGTATTTATTTATTGCAAATCTTGCGTTAAATGCCTTTCAAAGTAATGAAAGGGTTTTGTTGATGGATGATTACATTTTATCCTTCCATGCTAGCAGTACCTGCTGAGTTGACAGGCCTTAAATTTTTTTAATTTGCTTTATTTATGAGTTCTTATATGTAAAAAATTTGTTTTTTAAATTACATTTGTTTTTTTTGTTTTTTTTGATTAAATACTTATAATATTTTGTCAATAATTGATAACAACTACCATAAATATATAAACAATACTTAGTTGAAAATATTACATTAATTTATAACTTTAGTTTAAGTTTTTAATAAAACTATGTTATCTTAACACAATGCTATATATGGTAGAATATAATAGATTATAGTATTATGCTCTGTATTATTTGCTTACACTTTATTTTAGATAAGTTTAAAAAAGAAACTTCAACTTTTATTATATTAGGCATCATTTTTACACACTCCTTTGATGCCTAATTATGTCTAATAATTTAAGAAATGAAATTATTAGACTTCGTCAAAATGAAAGAAGGCAGGCTAGGCGAGCTGAGATAAACCGCCGTCGAAATGAAAGAGATGAGCCCAGGCGAGCTGAGATAAATCGTCGTCGAATGGAAAGAGATGAGCCCCGGCGAGCTGAGATAAATCGTCGTCGAATTGAAAGAGATGAGCCCCGGCGAGCTGAAATAAATTGTAATCAAAATGAAAGAAATCAGGCTAGGCGAGAACTTAATAGGTATAATATGCATCGCATAGCAAGAAATAATATTGCTATAGAGAGTAACTACCTCGGAGAATTAAACCATAATTGTCAGTATTGCAGTGCAAAGAAGTTTTTAAATGAAACTCATTTTTTGTGCTGCCATTCAGGAAAAGTTGCATTAGCTCCTCTTTCTCTTTATCCGCCATTGTTGACTGGTTTAATGACAGGAAACCATGTTGATCATGCTGTAAATCAAAATTTTTTTAAACACATAAGGAGTTATAATTCCTCTTTATCTTTTGCTTCCTTCACTGCCGAAATAGCTCCTCCCTCAAATAATGGCCCTTTCTGTTTTAGGGTCTGTGGGCAAATTTTGCATCGTGTTGGAAATTTAAGGCCTGCAGAAGGTTGTCTGCCCAAATATTGTCAGCTGTATATCTATGATCCTAATGCAGCAGTGTCATTCAGAATGGAACAACCTGGTAATGATGGTTGTATACATGAGTTAATGAAACTCTTGCAAACATTAATTAATCAAGAAAACCTTCTGTTACAAGTAAGTTGTTCTATTCACTTATACTTGACTTAAATTGGATTAATTGGTTTTATTGCATTTTTAACTTTCTTTTATTTATCTCTAGCTGCTTCTTCTGTTATAAGTAAGTCACTTTTACTTAACTTATTACATTGATTGATTGTTTTTATTGCATTTTTAATTTTCTTTTATTTATCTCTAACTGCTGCTTCTTCTGT